TAGCACAGTAATATTATTTATTAAATAACGGATCTTATCGATTGCTGAAAAACCAGTTGGTAATTCTAGTGAAGACGAGTCTCAAAAAGTGTTGGGTCTAAATTATGGTTTATACTTTGCTTTTCTAGGAAATTGTAATTTTCTGTCTAGGACTGAAAACTGTTCACGGTCCAGGTGGTGTTTACGGTCGTGAACTGGTTCACGGTCTCGAACCTTTTCACGGCCCATGTCCATCATATAAATAGTTGTATTAGTGGTGAGGAGTGCAGAATGAGAGAGAGCATATGGTAGAGAGAGAAAGTTAGAGAGAAGAGACGAGCTTAAGTGTGTGTAAGTTGTGTGTGAATCTTGTATTTGGATCTTCATTCTAATCAAATCATACAAGATTTATCATCTTCTTCTTCTCCTTCTTCTTCATTAGATCTGGCATCATCCGTTTGATTGGGATTCCGCACCATCAAACGGATCTGATTGATACACAAGCAGATTTGGGGACTTACAAGTGGTATCAGAGCTTGGATTGTATTAATCAATTTTGTCATATCTGGAGCTTATTTGATCTTATTTTTGAAGGATTTTTGCATTTTTGGATAGATCTCTGAAAATTAGGGGGGGTTTGTTCTTTGCATTTTTGATAAAAACGAGTTTTGGAACAAAATTGGTGAAAAACGTCATTTTTCTTCGCCTTTGTTGAAGGGTGTACGGCCCAAGAAGGGTTCACGGCCCGAAGTTCGTTTACGGCCCTCGGAGTGTACGGTCCTCGGTTTACGGCCAGCCTCGAACGTGTTCGGTCGGGGTTTGCGGTCCGAGGTTCACGGCCGGTCTTCGCACGTTCACGGTCCTCGGTGTGCAGCCAGCCTCGCACGTGTTCGGCCCAGCGAGTCTTCGTTCAGCAGCCTCGGTCTCGATCAGCAGCAGCCTCTTCCTCGCACGCGCATCTGAAAAAATAGGAAACGATTTTGGGGTTGCCGAGTTTCGAACCCGGGTGCCTAGCACCAACATTCCAGGCGCCTTACCAGTTGATCTAGCTTGCTAGATGGAATAAACCCTCGCAATTTAATTCAACAGGCTTCTTATTTCGATCAATGTTTTGCAATTTTGACATATTTAACCCAAAAATCAATTTCCTTTTATTTTTAAATTCCATTTTCTTCCAAAAATTTTAGTTTTTAATTTTTGACTTTTTACTTAAAATTTTGACTTTGACTTTCAAGTTTGACCTTTGACTTTCAAGTTTGACCTTTGACTTTAAACTTTGTCTTTTTCGTTTAACTTTTAAATTTTCAAATTTAGTTTTTCGGTTTGACTTTTAAGTTTGACCTTTAAGTTTGACTTTTTAAATTTGACTTTTAAGGTTGACTTTTGAGGTTTTAAGTCAAAGGGCATTTTTGATAAACAATGAGTTCTTCAAACACTAAAGTCAATAAAATTTCTTGTTCTCAAACATGCATTGATAATGTTAAAATTTTACTTGAGCATATCGAATATTACGTAGAGAGAACGAGGACCAAAAATACGAAGGATATCAACTCAGGAAATGACAAAAACCTCTAAAATCACAACTAGAAGCCAAAACAAAAGATTTTAGGAAACTTAAGGAAGAGTATAGCAATAAATGCGCAAACTATGATCTTTGTGACAGAACAAGTTTGAGTTGAGTTAACTGCTGGAACTTGACACATTGAAAAACTAAGTTTGAAAATGCAGATTTTAATTTCAGAAAATTTGATATGTCAAGTGAAGTAGTTGCGTCAATGATGGAAAATAGTTTGAGATTTAAAAATAACCAGCAAAAGGGTTTAGGGTATGATAAAGTGTCTCCTCCTTTTAATCACACCTATGAGTATAACCCTTTGACAAAAGAGGAAGGACTGGCAGAGAGGCACATCTCAAATATGGCAACTGCTGATTTGTGTCGGGATGTGGTCCTCAGGTTGAAAATACTAATGCTTCTACTTCTTATGCAGATCAACCACTAAGTCATTGCAAGCAAGCTGCTGAAGAGAGTGTGTCTGATAATAAGATTGTTTCAAAGTTTGATGACTTAAAATTTTTCGATATATTTGATGATATCTTTGATAATTCTGTCGTGGTTGTGCCATAAAGTGTTGAGCTGAACATTCAATGCTTCTTACTTCTTATGCAGGTAAGTAACGGAATGAGAATGAGAACAAAGGAGAAAACTATTGAACAAACCAATGTCTCCTTGAACTTTGAATCTGTTGCTTCGAACTCATTTGCTTCTGATCAACCTGTTGTTGAGAAATACAGGCCACCAAATCAAGTGAAATAGCCAGCCTGCTGCAAGTTTGCATGTGGGAACAACCAGGAACAAGGCAAGGGATACGCCACCAGGGCAGAAGAAGAAGAAAACAACTCCTACGTGAAGAAGCAGACTTGCTTTCACTGTGGAACACCTGGACACATTGCCAGAAATTGTCCTAATCGCGCATACATTCCCTATTACGCACAAGACTGGCAAAATGCGCCAATAGGGAGATTTTCCAAAAGAAACCCCTCAAGGTCACGTTCAGACAATGGCAACTGGAACGCGCAAAAGGCCAAGAATCAAAATCCCAAGGGCAAGAAGGGAATGCCGGCCCAGAAGCCAATTTCAAGAAATGCTCCAACGAAACCAAAAGGCTAGTCAAAGTCTCTCAACAACAGACCTCAAGTTCAAAATCAAGTGTCGAGGCACCCATCCGCTCGAAAAAGAAATGGGTTAAACCCGACTACAGATGGGTACCAAAGGTTCAATCTCCCAAATCTTCTAATGATTCTAATATTTCTACATCTTATGTTTGTGATAAGCAGGATATGTCTTAGGAGAGAGTACCGTGTGTAGACGACAAAGGTCAACCCAGTTTCAAAATGGACTGGGTTTCAAAGACCAACTAATCCCGCTCTGTGTCTGAGCAGCTATGGAGGCATATCATCAGACTTCGGTTTGTTGGTAGCGGCTGTTCCAGACACATGATAGGAGGCATCTCTCAACTGTACAACATTTAGAACATTATTTGAGAGTATGTGTCCTTTGCGGGAAGGGAAGAAAGGAAAGGATCACACTTGGGGTCTGTGCTTAATGACGTGAAGAATTTTCGGATCTGTTCTGAGATTATGCGTGCCATTCCTAGACCTTCTGGATGCAAATTCAATCGGTGACTTACGGTTTGAGTTTTTTTCTCGATACTCCTGAGTTTTTTCTTAAGCTGATTCACTTCAAAGACAAATTTTTGTTTTAGGATAGTTTAAATTTACGCATTTACTTTCGTTTCTCTCCTATGCACAAATTTAGGGGGAGAAATAAAAACAAAACAAAAATTTTAAAGTTTTAAAAAAATCCAAAAACATTAGAAAATCAGAAAATCCAAAAATATATTGTTAATGGAATGTGCTTGCAGGTGATGTTTTGGGAAGTGATATCAACAAGTATAACAGGCAATCGTCTTTTGTGTAAGGTACCAATGTTGAATTGTCTAGGCTCTGTGTTCGATGCGCTGGTAGGCACGAAAGATTTAAAATGGACTTGACTAGGCATAGATGAACTTAAAGAATCTAGAGACTTGAAAAATCTTGACCTAGATAGATCCATTTTGTCTGACAATACGACGCTCAAATAGGTTGAGCAGAGAGATATACATGAGAATCTGCGGATACAGTAAATAATCTGTCTCTAGAACTGTGGTTTAACTTTTCCTTGATGTACGCTCAGATAGGTTTTACTCATAATATTTTTTTGCTTTTTAGGAAAAAATCGATAGCACGATGCTCTAATAGAAAAAATGACAAAAAGGTTATTGTTAACAGAAATGTCCTTTCATTTATTTGTCAACTTTAGTGTTACTTATGCAATTATGAAAAAAGAACATTTTATTTTTGCATTTAACAGAAAAAAAAAAAAAAAAGATCTTCAGGCGGTAAATGTACCAGTTATACCATGTGTGCGCGTGGCTATATATTGACATATAGTAGATTTGTTCCCCCTTTCCCTTTGGTTATAACATGTTTTAATGTTTCATTTCATTTCCTTTTATATTTCTATTTTCTCTAGAAGATAGTATATAAGCTTTTGATTAAGACGCCATTGTGTTTAACCCTAAGCAACTCGAGTAAAGTACCAAACTATGATGCTATAATAACCAAATCGATGCCAGTATGTTGCTATTTCTTTACAATATGTTTTTTGAGTCTAAATTGTTGAATGCAATCCAATTTGCATGATGATCGTGATTTGGAGAAAGTGTTTTAAGTACTTTACTGATAATCTTAAACAAATTAATATGATCGGTAAAGTCAACAATGTATTAACGTTCTATTTGCTTATTTTATTGATACATCTTCTAGAACAAAATATCATATAATGCTTTGTTTAGTTATTTTCTTTATTAATATGTTATACATTATTTTCGTATTGCCCTTATGTATCAAAAATAATGTCTTAATTGGTTTGGCTGCTCATTCTTAGGTTCACAATGAAGCTGATTGACTTGAATTTCTTGCATCTTCTGTTGGTAAGTTTAGTACTTTTTTCACTAGAGAAACATCGATCTTCATCAAAGGGTAAACAGGGGTATATTGGTCAACCAGGGGAATTTTGTCACAGAGGTGGATGCAGGGGTAAAATGGTCTTTCAATAAATTAACAGGGGGGAATAAGAGATCTATCCGTTCTTATTTGTGTCCATGTTCACAAACATTGCTTTCATCTTTATAAATATTTGGTGCAATCTGTTAAAAGTATTACTTCCAAATTCCAATGAACTCCCTCTAGAAACAATTACAACACTCATCTAATAACAACTATCAATTGCTACAATTACACAATAAACCAAATAAGAACACCCCATGATCAATCAATCTAATCATATCTTTTTGATAATAAAAGTAATCACTATTTAGTGCAATGAGCATCAGTACCTTGTTGCACACAATGAGTGTACCCAAGATCACCAAGAAATTTTCTTATCTCTTTTGAACTACTATTGCTAGCTTGTAAAAGTCTTTCATCTTCCTCATAAATCAAGTATGGAGCTTCACCTTTCTTTCTTGATAACAACTTTTTTGCACCTTTCAACACATGATACTCCCAACCCTGAACATCTATTTTCAAAAGCAACACATGTTCATTCTCTGGTATCACTTTATCAAGAGGAATCGATCTCACTTTCATTTCAATTTCTTCATTTGATTTGAAAGCCATCTTTGCACCAGTTGCTGAAACTGCACTATTATCTAGCCTTCCAACCAACTAACAACAAATCCAAACCCAAATTATCAAAATTCCCAAATTGTATATTTGAAAGAAAAGACGATATGATCAACATTGAACAATAGTCAACATACCTTGTGAAATGTTATGTTTCCGATTTGATCAGAAGTAGCAGCTTCAAAAACGTTAACTAAATCTCCAACTCGATTGAAATAAATCCCGTTACAAATGCTCTGTAGATTTTCAAGAACGGGTTCAAAAGCAAAAACCCTAAACCCCATAACTGCAGCAGCGAAGGTAGCCATGCCTACATTTGCTCCAACATCAATGAAAATCCCGGTTTTTCCTTCAGCCTTCTTCTTCTCCAATAAGTCCTGAACAGTTACAGAGATGTCGGGTCTTCTGAATAACTTTCCTTTCAAGATCCGGACGATGTTCTTGTGGGGTTTATCAGGTAATGTTCCGAAATCAGATAGAGAGTAGAGAAATGGATATTTAACGCCTTCGACTAGGTTTGCGATGACTGGATGTGATTGAGGTGATTTGTAGCAATCGAATGGTTGGATTAGTGAGTTGGGGAGATTTATTAGGGTTTTGAAATTAGGGTTTGGGTTTGATGAGGTTGTGGTGTGAGTGCAGAGGTAGAAGAAGGTGAGGAGGACGAGAGAAGTGGAGAAGAGGAGGAAGATGCTTTTTGGGGTGGCGAATTTAATGGATCGGTCTTTCTTCCAAGCATTTGCCATGGAAGTTTGGGAATTTGAATTAGGAAATTAGGGTTTTTGGTTGATGAATTTTAAGAATTCAATTGAGGGGAGATGGAAAGATTTTGATTGGATATTGAGACTGCAAGTGGAAGGATGCTTTTACATGATCTGGAGAGATGTATGCTCCCTGCATAGTACAACACTCAACAGCATGAAGTACAAGTTACAATCCAATATCTAGCCTGTTGCAAATTATATAAAAACAGAGTAGGGTGAAAGGTTCACATTCATCTGAAGATGCAAGTACTCTATATAGTTTAGATATCGTGAGCATCACACCATTTCAAAATATATGGGTAAGGTTTTGTCTTCTTTTAAATATTCAAATAACATTAACTTGCCTCGACTTTTTGCTAGATCTTGAGGGGATTACAATCGGTAAGAACATGAAGCATGATTGAGGGGTTTGTAGACAATGTAAATTTGATATAAAAAATGTATCCACATAAAAAATTCAGGAATCAAATCACCTAGTTATCAATAATACTTTCAATCTGATCTATTAGCAAAGTTGAAATACAATTTATCATTTTGATGGATAGAACACTAACCAATAGATTCCACTGAGAGCAGATAGCTACTGCATCAGCAATATAAATATCTTCCCCATCTTCTCCATGTAAGTGTTGATTTTAGTACAAACCAAAACAAAAGGTTAACTTTTCTGAGATCCAACCTCACCGACCTTTTTACAGACGATAGTGTGGATCTATCCTCACCGTGTAAGGGCGGCGAATCGGCTGTGGTTGATGGAGACAGATGGTGGACCCGTCGATAATGATTTTGATGCAGAGAGAGACAGAGAGGGAAGGAAACAGCGATGCGTTGCGGTGGATGGTAGTTACGGAGGCGTCCGCTTTAGGGTTTCACAGAGAGGTGGAAGCGAATCCTGGATCGAGAGTATTTGCTTGAATGGAGTTTCAAATTCAATTTTTGAAAGAGTATGAATGCTGATCCGATCTGGTTTTAAACAGAGGGGTGGTTTGGGATTAACTTTGACAGAGGTTGTGTATGCCCACAAAACTGCAGACATATTTTTTATCGATCCACATATATATATTTTTTTTGTTAGAGTACCCGGTAACGAGAAGAGACGATGCTGAGGTGGCAAGCCGCAAGGCCGTGCCGTCTTAACGGGGACACCGCCCCCAACTCGTTGCAGCTCGTCGTGGTGGATTTTGTGGCCGTTACCACCGAGTGAAACGAGAAAAAATTTGACAGTTGGCGTATTAAACCTTTGACTTAATTAAAAAAAATTAAAATTATTTATTCTTTTCCTATATAAATACCTATTATCTAAACAATTTTTTACACATACTTTCTCTTTTTCTCTCTATATAACCTCAATTATCTTCAAAAAAAAATTATGGATCCTTTCGACTCGTCCGATTATTCCGATGACGATATATTCTGATGTATCATTATTACACTAACGAACTGCTACAACCAGACTCAGCCCCGCTGCTAACAAGACGTGTGATGTTAAACAGAAATCGCGAGGAAGGACACGAGCATCTATATCGCGATTACTTTGCGGATAATTGTGTATACGGGGCGAAAGACTTCAAAAGTAGATTTCGTTTGAGTAGGGATGTGTTTTTCCGAATCGTCAACGCCTTGGAAAGCCGGTATCGCTTATTTACTATACTTTTATACAAAATAAATAAAAATGTACTACATGTTTCTTTTTAAATTTACAACATATGCAATATATTTTTAAACTGTAGTTAATTTATGTTTATGTATGAATTTTTTAAATTAAGATATGATGCTTGAGGTAGACGAGGGTTTACAACGTTGCAGAAATGTGTTGTGGCCATTCGTTTGATGGCTATGGGGGAGTCACCCGACACCATGGACGACTATATGAGAATGTCCGAAAGAACCGCAATGGAGAGTTTTTATACATTGTTAAGGGGTGTTGTTGAAACATTTGGAGACGTGTATTTGCGGAAACCTTCGTTGCATGATTTGCAAGAATTGTATGCGGCGCATGAAGAACGCCATGGGTTTTCCGGAATGATCGGAAGCATACATTGCACACACTGAAAATGGAAAAATTGTCTGGTAGCAAGGAAAGGGCAATACGCAAGTGGTCATCACTGATCACCTTCGTTGGTTTTAGAGGTTGTCGCTTCTCAAGATTTATGGATTTGGCATGCATTTTTTGGGGTTGCGGGTTCCAACAACGACGTGAACGTTCTTGATCAGTCGCCAATATTCGACGATCTTTTGAATGGAAAGGCCTCGGATGCTCTTTTCACGGTGAATAGAAACGAATACAAATATGGGTATTACCTTACAGATGGAATATATCCTCGGTATTCCACATTCGTGAAGGCATTCCGCCATCCGGTTGAAGAACGAGACAAATTTTTTAAAAGAAGACAAGAAGGAGCACGTAAGGATGTGGAACGTAGTAGAAGATAAATGGCGAAATATTGCACACTATATCCCAACGGAGCCCAGACACGTTCAGTTTCAACCAGGAACAACAGAGTATTTGCATCGCGTTGTTGACATTTAGGACGCAAATAAACACAGACAACTTCGAGAAGACTTGACGGATTATATCTTCTATGGTAACAATAACGATAACGAATAGCGTTGTATTTTTTTTTTTTTTTTTGAATTTGGATGTTATTATTTTATTTTATTTTTTTTGAATTTGGATGTTATGTGTAATTTAATTTCTATGTTAATTTTAATCTTTAAAAATTATTATATGTTATTTATAATTTTTACACATTATGTTTTATTTATTATGTTATATTTAAAAAATATTTGTCTAAATTAAAAAAAATCGAAAAAAAATAAAAAATAAATTATAAAATGGAAAAAAGTTGGTGTTATAACAAGATACAACATTGTGACAATTTCTCCACTTGGTGTTATAACACTATTGATGATGTGGCATGTGATGTGGCACCAAAATGGTGTTACATCTAGTTGCCCACACCTAATGGTCTTAGTAATTGACTATTATGCCCTTACAGTGTATTTTCATTATTTTTATTCCAACGCTTTTTTTAGGAGCTGATTTGATTCTCTTTCAACACATAAACACAACACGCTTAATCTCCCTCCTTCAATACTTCATTATCACTGGAAATCGCTCGTCACATTTTCCCCTCTGAACACATGTTGTTCCACCGATGATCAATCGGTTCAATATTTCCCGGCTAACAAAACCGGTTCGTAGATCCTCCATCCGCTTCCTCTAATTTCCACCCAGTTTTCGATTTTCCAGCTGTTGTTTCCTTTTTCTCCATGTTCTCAGGTCCATTACAATTACGCAGGTATTGATGTAACACGATTTTTTCAACCTGAATGTGCGTGACATTACCGGGTCGATCGGAGTAGAAGTTATTTGTGAAGTAGTTTATGAAGTTTGTGTGAGAGTATTTCGGTGCTCCGATGACGATGTTCTCGAGGGGAGTCTTCCCGGAAAATAATGGGGAGTAGTTCAACAGGTGTTTCTAACCAGTCGTGTTAAGATACGTGGACTCTCCGATCACTGCATTCCGTTTTTTCAGACACATATACATGGACGAAGATTGCAAAATGTATTGGTCGTCTGAAGCCAACTGAAGATTGCAACGCCGCAGGAGGGAGCTTTGTGAGGAAGATGAAGCACTTAAAAAGGACGTGTAATACTTAATATTTAAATGTAAAATACATTATATAATAATATATTTAAATAAAGGGTATAATCGTCCATTAACTAACATATTATGTGGATGAATATAAAAATTCATCTGCCGCCTAAAATAAAGGGTGTTTTTTAACATAAATTTACAAAAAAAAAAGTAACAAATTACGGTTTTTTAAAAAACAGCCCACAAAACTGCAATCAACTAAGTCAAGGCAAACATGTATGCGGTTTCGTCTATTCCTCTACAATTTTGTGATCCCTAAGGCTGGTGTGTGTGGGCAACATGTTAAGACATGTTATCATACCAAAAATTTGTCAACTCATATGTCATGTCATCTTTAACACCATTTGATTTATGTAGGAAATGGTGTGCAAATGTTATAACATGTTAAGAGATACAAAGAGAATTAAAAAGAGAGTGAGATAATGGTTTTTGATTGGTTGATTCTCACGTTACTTCCCGTGGCCATGGTAACATTTCTTAACATAACACCAAATAACATGAGAGGGGGCGGTGTTCCGGTGTTATGACGCCGTTATGGGAGCTGCCAAATCAGCATAATGCCTTATGGCGTTGCCCATACCGAGTAGACTAAAAAAAACTCATTTTAAAACAAACGAAATCACTTACGGCATATGGGCATTTCTTTTATGTTTCCAATGTAAGTTTGATTATGGTTTTATACATTTTAACTACGATTTCTGACAAATTTTTTCTATGTTTTTATACATTGTTCATTCGTTTTTATATAAAATGCAGAAAAAAAGAACTGAATATTATTGTTATCTTTTCGTATAATACGAATTCTGATGAGTATTTCGTTGTGTTTGTAACTGGCAGGAAGTAAGAGATAGTTGATTTTAAAATCATAAGAGACCATAAGTGAAACATTATTTTATTAAAATTTTAGCCTCTAATCCCTTTACCCAACACGCCTTCGCCTAGAAATATGAAACAATTTTCGTGTTTTTCTATTTTAGCCCCCAATCGGTAACGAAGGTCGGATGATTGTAGATGGTAGTCTGGTGGGAGTCGCATAATTCAGGCGAGCAAGCGTTACGGATATGTTTAAATTCATAAATAAAATTAAATTATTCTGATCTCAGCATCCATCTTAAATTTATTTGAAACAAAACAAACTAATGTATTAACGTTGCTTTTATAAGGCTTACCAGCTATATTATTACACATCAACAAACAAATATAGATAATATATAATATAATATAATTAATTGATATATATATATATATATATATATATATATATATATATATATATATATATATATATATATATCTATATATAATATATATCCCAATAAATCAAAATCATTTTTCCCAAATGTTATGTTCTCATTGTATTTGACAAATGACATTTTTTTAAGATTTATTGATTTATTGTTTTCCACTTGTCATTTTATGTTTTTTTGTTCTTTTTTATTAATTTTTGCATAATATTTAAATATAACAATTGTAATAAATATAATAATAAATACATATCAATTTCATCAATGCAACTTTCATTTTAATTTCTAAATTTATAAACTGAAACTAATTATTTTATTTGCTTGTTTATTTAAATTAGTTGTTTAAATTTAAAAGAAAATTTAAAAAAAATTAAAAATAAAAAATTGAACCAATTGAACATTACATTTCAATAATTCAATATTTTTCTTTTTTCCTTATAAATTCAAACATCCTAAACTATTAGATGTTCATTTTTTTTTATAAATCAGTATTGTATACGCGGGCCCGATAACTAGTATATATATATATATATATATAAGCTCAAATGAAAATACTAAATAAAATAATGTCGTGAAGACAGTAATTTTATGTTATTATTTTTCTCTTAATTTTGCAATGTTTTATGTCATTATTCAACATTGAATATATGAATAATAATAATAATAATAAGTTAATATTCTCATTAAAGTTTACTAAAGTACTATACATATAAAAATTTTGTAGTAGAATAATAATATAAAAATAACATGTTCAGTTATTTAGTGTGTTCATTACTTCATTTGAACTAATATATATATATATATATATATATATATATATATATATATATATATATATATATATATATATATATAGGAGGGTTCAATTGAGAAAAAAAAAAGGTTGAGGATAGGGAAATCATTCTCAGCCACTTATTTATTTTTGCCGCAAAAGTCTCCGTCGTACCAGTGGAAATGGGAAAGGAATAAACATGTGTTTTCCAACAAAACATGTTTCCTTAAACTATGCTAAGCATTACCTTAATATATACAAAAACATAGTTTTTTCGTTTTTTTTTTAATTTTTAAGAAGCTATTTTTATCGAAAAATGATTTTAAATATACCAAAATTCATGATATTTTTTTCTCTA